ATCTTAGAGATTCTATGGCCTTTTTCTCTGGTAGAGAGAGGTTGTTGTGGTGGCGTGTGTTGCTGATTATTTCATTGTTCATTCTTTCCCTGAAGCAGTCAATGTAGCGGTCAAGGTTAGGGTTTCGTCCACTGCGAGGTGTCCAATCTGATGGTTTTTTAGGCTTTTTGGCATTGATCCTTTCCTGAATGTTGTCAGAGGATGAGTTGTTGTTGGGAGTGGGTTCAGTTTGGTCGTGGAAATATTCTTTGAGGTGCAGGCATCGGAAGAATTCTTCTAGTTCTCCACATTGAAGATTTTTGTTAATCAAGGCTTTACAAATTAAATAGCTGAAATCAGTTGTGTAATCAGTTACTCTAGCAAAGATTTATACTGACTACCTAAAATAGCAGGTAACATAAACCCCTACATGTAAATAGTATAGATTTAACTATGAATAGTTATCCATATAAACACACAGATATACAACTGGCTTATAGATTCACCAATCTGCAAGGGTTCTTCTGTTTTTGATGTTAGTTTATGCATAATAAATATGCACTATAGGAAAACTTGCACTGACTTTTTAGTTGCATTCTTACGTCTCTCATCTCAGCAATATAATAAATTTAAAGCCTGAGGACCATTAATAATCTTGGTAGAAGGATTTTGAAGGAGAAAAATGTAGGTACTAATTGTTTTCAGTTACAAGTGTTTCCTATGAAGCTTAATAGCCTACAGAGCTCAAAACCAGTTCTTATCTTTTCAGAATGTAGAATAATAAAACCGTAATATATTGAGGCTATATAATGAGTTGCAGAAAAGTAATTAAGTAGTTTACACTTGTCAGTATTATATGGTCCATAATTCACCAAAAGTAAAATCACAAGGTGCTTATAAATGTTTTAACATCTATCATCTTCTGTGTGAGGATCTAAAGTCAATAAAATTTATCTGCAAGAGAGTTAGAATTTAAAATAAGTTGCTGGTATCATTGTCTGATCTAATAAATTATGATATGAACTAATAAGATAGTGATTTGATTTTTCTGTCTAGTAAAATATTTTATTTTCTCAGATCAAAGGAAGGAGCTTGGCTAGGGCACATACTGAGTTCTAATGTGTATTCCATTGCTGAAAAGGGAATTAATTGCATACAAAAATTATGAGAAGGAAAATAGTATGTGATCATGTAATTAAAGACTTTCAAAGTGCACACAGAGGTGTAGAATTAAGGTTGAGTAGATAATTTTAATTCTGACACTTGTGATCTTTTCAATTCTTGACTATAAGTTTAATAACATTTCCATGTAGCTTTTTCACATTCTTCTGGGAGGTTTTGTTTTGTTTGGGTTCTTTTAAAGGAAGAAAAGAACAAACCAGTTTTATCGCAACTTTTAAACTCCTAATTATGAATCATAGAGTAAGCATATGATAAGAAGGATCTAGGGAATTAGATTGGTCAACCTGTCTTTTTACTGTATTTCCTCACGTACAACATGCCCCAAAATAATAAGTACACCTTGTTTTTAAAAGGCAGAATGAGAAAAAAATCTTTCCTTGAAACTATTGCTAAGTAGCAGTAAGTAATTGATTAGCAGCAGCAGAAGCCTATATTGGGCAGTGCCAGAGGGGGTGGGAAGAAAGGATCTATGGCAGGAGTAGGAAACCCCCAGGATGGGTGCCAGAGAGTGGTATGCGAAGGCATTTTGTTTGGCATGCACTCCTTGAAGAGGATGGTGGGAAAAGGGCTGTGGTTGTGCTGCCACAACAAGGATTGGGCTCCTCATGGCTTCCTTGCCATTTGCTCCTGGTATGGCAATAATCTGACAAATTGAGGTTGTGGGTGTTTTTGGCACTTTGCCCAAAAACATTGCCAACCCCTGATCTATAGCAATCAGCTAGAGCCTCATATGCAGTGTTACTTTTGCTTTCCCCTGGCAGAAGCAGAAACTAATATTACCATATTTCCTCACTTATAATGCACAACCTGATTTCCAGCAGCTGATTTTTTTAAGAAAAGGTATGTGATATACATAAGCAAATATATTAGTTCCTGGGTTGTTACTAGAGCAAATTACAAAAAAGTCAATTTATAAACATTTGGAAGAGGAAGCTGTGATCAATATCAGCCCACTTACTATTAAGTACAAATAATTTGGTTTTTCATTCAAATTCAATTTGATAGATGAGGGGAAGAAAGTGGATAAAATATCTGACAGTAAGGATACAGTCAGAGGTGGCATTCTCTTAAATAATCTGCAGAAAGATGGATTAGATAGAATTATCAATAGGTATTTCAACCAACGTAAGTGATTGAATAACTTCACGCAAAGGGTAACTAAATGGATTGATGTATGAAATTCAGGAGGTTTCAAGTAGGGTCACTCTGTTCTGGGTTTAGTGTTCTTTAACATTTTTAATTGAAGACTTGGATGCGTGAATAGACAGCTTTCTGACAAATTAATAGATGACAGACAAAGTGAAGGGACAGCAAACACATTGGATGCTAGGATTAGAATTTGCAATAAATTGAATTTCAGCAAAGACAGCATACCCACAGGGAAGAACAGCCATCAATACAGAATGGGCAATAATTGGCTATATGGTAGATCTTCGAGGGAAGATCACAAATTTGACAGAAGTCAATGATGTAATGCTGTGTAAAAAAAAAAAAACAACAGCAGTGTTGAGCTACAGTAACAGAAGCATTGTATGCAAAACATAGGAGGTATTGGTACTACTCTGCATAGGCCTAGCTAGATCTCACCTGGAGTATTCTATCCATTTCTGGTTTTAAGATGCATGTAGAGAAACTGAAGAAGATCCAGAGATGAGTGACAAGGATGATAAAGAAATTGAAAAACAAGCTGTGTAGAGGTGTTATGGAATATCTTTCTTTGGAGAGAGGCTAGACAGGCATCTGTAATCTGTGAATTAGGAACAGCACATTCTACATTTGTCAACTAGATGACTGTTGAGGTCCCTCCCAGTGCCTACTCTATATTGGTTTACAATGAGTTACTCAGTAGAAGAAAAGCACTTGTTTGGGGGATAGGAGGATTTCTTGAAAAAGTGCAAGATGATGAGTTAGATGAGGGCTGCCCAGCTTCTGAGTGGCTGGGGGCTGTATATCCTCAAGGTCACCCATGGCGTGACCCTTCCCACTGCACAGCGCCATGCAGCCTCTGGTTCAGGGATAGGAAGTAGAAGGTGGAGGAGGGAGGGGGGAAATCCAGAGAACCCAGTGACATCCACAGGAGAGCAATGGTGGGGAGTGGCCCTGAGAGTAGGAGCCTGTGGGCTGCAAGTTGGACAGCCCTGAGCTAGATAAATATGTTTGTTGTTAAATCCTACATATGCTTTTATCTGTTAGATTGGATCATAAGCAACTGATCAGAATTGCCTCTTCCCCTCCTGTCTAGAAATGTAGACTTCATCTTGGGGAGCAAACTCAGATTCTGTTACAAAGCCAACTGACTTGTTAATTTTTCTCTGCCTCATTGCCTAGTATATAAGAACAGCAACCGAGTACATCTGTGTCATTGAGCACTGAAAACTTCGCTAGACTTTCATCTGCCTTTGAAATATCAGGAATACATTATTATCTTAACTAACTTGTAGTTTATCATGATTTCTCTGGTTTATTATCATTCATAGGCAGATCTTCATGGCCTCTGTGGCAAGCTCAGGACTGCAACTGAGAAGCAACCACGTGCTCCCACTCAGAACACAGCAAATCCCAGAATTTGGCTGTTTTGTCTGTTTAGTGCAGCCCAGAGGGCGTTCGCAGAACTATGTTCAGGCCCTTTGTCTCACATGTGCTCCTTAGTGAATACCCAAGACCTTGCTAACCTGGCTCTGCTGCCTAATTTCCAGGCTTTGCCATGCCCTGAACAGGAGGGTGTGCGCAAGGCATGCATCTTGGCAGTGCTCCCAGACTCCCCAGGAGTTCGTGTAGACATGTCTTTGAGTCCTAAAATACTAAAAGGAACATTGCAGTTTTACATTTGCTCATCATGAATGCCACTTGTTTTCTTTCAGTGGAAAATACTAATCATTTATTTACACCATTTTTTCAGTGTTTTGAGCTGATAAAGATTACCAGTTCTTAATACTGTATATACAAAGACATCTAGTCTATTTTAATGGCTCTTGTATTTTATTTACAGATATGCCATATTTTGTATTTTATTATATGTTTTGTTTTTCAGGAAGAGGCTAAAGTATTTTGCTGAAATATGGAACATAAATGATTCCCAGGAACTGCAAAAATGGAAAAAGATATGTGAAACTGAAGATGATCGACTATTTTTAATATCTCATATCCTGCTTAATTGAAGACTTTAAGAAATAATAAAACATGGGACATTCACAGCATACTAGATAGAGTACTATATTTAACAAATGTGGAATTTCTGATATATTTAGTAGACTTGCCTGTTGGAGTTCAACTTTTCAGAACAAGAAACTAGACATTATAATGCATACTCCGATATTAAGTTTCTAAAGGCAAGCTAATTTTATGGACTCTCCCCTCCATTTTTTTTAAATGCAAAGCGAGCTATTTGCATTTGATGACATTTAGAATATGATTAAAGGAATGAAAGATTATGTTTGTAAACAGTTATAAAATATTAAAAATAAAATAATGGCTTAAGTTTATTGTGTTTTGTTTTCTGAAGAAATACTGCTTTGTGAGTTTTATTAGGGAACGGCTGTTCATTGACTATATTTGTGATGTGTTAAGTAGCATCTTTGTTTGAATAGTGTATAAGGATATTGTCAACTTGATTTTATTTTTAAGTTAAGTTAAAAATCATGATTCTGATAGATTACCTTTTAGACTGCATGTATCCAATCATTAGGACTTCTCTTTTGAAAACATGCAGGGCAGAAAACTTTCACTGGTGAAGTTAATAAGAGGGTTATCAGCAGGCGTGAGAATAACAGCACCCCACAGCATCAGGCATTCTGTGCAGTCTAAAAAGTATTTTCTGGACTTTCCCAGATCAGCAACTGATAGTGAAGTTCATATGTGAGACAACAAATAAATGTGAAACTGGCAATCTATAAACAGAATAAAAATGGGAAAAATCAGGAGGTTTCTCTTGCTATCTTCTTGCCATTTTTGTGATCACAATTGTTATTAGTACAAGTACAACATTTTTTAGATGGTAAGGTGATTTTGGAGTTGGTATCCCTTTAAAAATAACTGTAGCTACAGTTATGGAAATAAAGCACGTAAAGAGATAATGTTTATACATTTAAGCCTCAGTGAAAATACTGTTTAACATATTTGTAAAACCATTTTATTGGCATAAACATCTCATGTTGTTTCAGACATTATAGTAAAAGAACAAAATGCATTTTTTTCCTTTTTCTGAGGAAACTACTAATGAGAACCTATTTGATTTTATTAACAAAAATAAACTAAACTTGCAAACTAATACTTGTTAACTGGATGTCAGTATTGAAATTATATCTTGTTGCCACTGACTTTCATGGTTTTTCCAATGTAAAGAATGACTGTGCTGTCAGGATGCACAAAATAAATTAATTTACATTTGGAAGCAATTGTTAACCTTATTAATGAAATAATTTTTCAGTCTACACCACCAATATCTCTCAGCTTCAGAGTATCCTCTGTGAGATATTACTGTAGCATATCTTGACACTCAAATAGCAGCAGTCACCAGAAGTTCTTCTTCCATATCAGCTTAAAAGAAGATTCTATCTACTGTAGTTCTTACTGACTACTGCTACAATAATTCATATACCTATCACTTCCAAGTTCAAATCATATTTCTTACTCTATCTGACTTTCAATAAAGTTTACAAAGCAGCTTATAGCTGTTGTATAAAAGCATAAATAGTAGCCCAGACAGAATGAGCTGGAGTAGAAAAGTTCTATAGTTCTTTTGAAACATACTGTATGCTGTGCATTGCTTGTATGCAGTACATTGTCAGTGCACCTGCACCCAGTGTACTTTGTCTGAAAACATTTGGTCAGCAGTGCCCTTTGGGGTGACACGCATTCCCTGAGTCCATATGTCTCCAGTGAAGTTTGTTTAAGACAGAACTTCTGCAAAAGCTTCATTCAGCATAAGAATCTGGATGATGGCAAGTACTGTCATCAGCAGCAGCAACAGCATTCCCTCAATTTGAGGATGACCTCTGCTATGGCTCATTGATGGGTCTTGAGGTGACTTAAGAGTCCAATCTTTGAGCCACAGATACATCTGCAGAAATTGCAGGTCTTTCCACAAGGGAGAGTAGGCTGTAGGCTGGGATTTTTCTCCTTGTCCTTCCTTCACTCTCTTTTCTCTTCCTCAAGGGCACGACTCTTTACCTTGAAACAGGGTGATGCTTGTTTGTGGTTATAGTGCCATTGGAGTTGGTCAGCAGCCAGCTTTTCCAGCTCTTGATGTTGGCATCTATTTTCTTAGGGTATGCCTTCAATATGTCCTAGTAGCACTTCCTCTGGCCACCGCAAGATCTCAGTTCATAACTAAGTTGGGAGTAGAACACTTGTTTGGGGAGTTCAGTCAGGCATCCACATACAATGTCTAGTCCAGTAAAGCTGATGCTTGAGAATCACCAACTCAGTGCTGGTGACATTGGCTTCAGCAAGGCATTCGTGTGCAAATCTTCCCATTTGACGTGGAGGATTTTCTGGAGGTATCTTTGGTGATACCTCTGCAGACTCTTGAAATTACGATGGTAGATCACCCATGTTTCACATGGGTAGAGCAGAGTGGGAATGATGACTGCATAATAGACCTGGATCTTGGTGTATTTGCAGTGATTACAATCAATAAAGATGCACCAAAGCAATTTTCCAAAGGAGGTACTTACGCACCAGATCCTGTGCTGGATCTCTTCAATGTTCATTCTCTGAGAGGTGGCTACCAGGGTAGGGAAGTATTTGACTACATCTAGGCTCTTT